TTGAACCAGTTGCGACGAGCAGAAGGTTTGGCTTTAGGTTTGGCTCGAGGCCCCCAGTTTCCTCTGAACGCCTGATCCTCAATGGAAGCGAATTCTGATTGGCTAAGGTTGGGAGACTGAAAAGCCATTGGCTGGGTCCTTGGGAGGCTGGTTGGGCGGCTTGAGTTTTTCTGGGAGGGTCCTGAAAGCCCTGGGGAGCCTGGCAAGGCCCTGGAAGCTGCTTGGGAGATTCGCAGGCGCCTGGGAGGCCCTGGGAGGCCCTGGAAGCTGCTTGGGAGATTTGCTGGCAGAGGGGTCTAGGGGGGCCTGGCAGGGCCTGAGAAGCGCATCTGAAAAGAACGATTTCAAGGTTTGTGCGATTTACCCAAAGATTTGGGGTAATGCATTCTAGGGCGACCTGACGGGTCATTCGCCAGCGGCCTGCCGGGCATACCGCGCAGTCCTCAGCTGCCTGCGGGACTAGAGCTCTGTCGCCTGCCGGAGGGCTTTGGGCTCCTAGAGCTGCCTCGCCTGCCGGCTTCGGCGCGTTCGCCCTGCTTGACGGCGCCAGGCTCACTCAGTTTAGGGCAGTGGCAAAGGGAAGAGTAGTCACAGATTGTCATCAAATCGCAAAGGGCGAACCGTAGGTCTACAACCCCTTGAAAAAGCCTCCGAAGAACCACACTTGTTATTAAGATCATGAATGGATTCTACTAACTCGTCGCAGGCCATATATGGTGTCCAACACCCTAATCCCTAAGCCCTGAACCCTAAAACCCAACACCCTAAACCCAGGAAACTCCCGATGACAGGCACTGCTGTGTTTCCTTCTATACCTAGGACCCTAACATTAGGAGCAGGCCTGTGTGATATCTTTCGAGCAGACATAGCGGTGTCCCACTTCTGGTTGTTTATGGGTAGTTATAAGTGTGTCATAAACTGTAAGCCCCTTAGATTTTTGGCATAACCCTAGTTCTCCTGAATTTAACTGCACTTCTAACTACCCATGAAGCTTCAAGTAGACTTCAGTTTAAAGCCACAAATCCTAAACCCCAAACCCTAAGCCGCCCCAAGGAAGGATACTTTTCCAGCTCTGGCGGCTTCGTCTACTTTGACAAGCCGCACCTCGTCTGAGGGGCTTCAACAGTAGCAGCAGTACCGAGGGGCCGAGGAGGTTCTCTTTGTTTTGGCCACTTTTCGCAAAAATTACCTGGGTTATATTTGGATTCATGGAAAAGAAAATGGAAACTACTATCTAGGGTTTAAGGTTTAGGGTTTAAGGTCCCCTTTAAGTAGATAGAATATGGGGGCTATGGGGGTCTTATTATAACATCCCCAAAGCCATATTCTCTCTACTAAAGGGGGACTATACCTTTACTGCACTTCAGAACATCAGCGCATGAATGCCAGCTCTACTGTGGGAATACTTGTATCAGAAGTCATTGCAACGATGACCACAGGGGCTGTTGTGACATGAACGGACAGTAGCAGTCCAAACATTTGCGGTGTCAGCTGGTATGAAGGAATCTGGGCAGCCAGCATCGGATGTTAATTTACTGGTGCTTGAGGAGGATTGGGGCAGTGTTTGCAGGTATTATTGTAGGCATATATGAGAGTTTCCTAAGATTATGGAATCCTTTTTGAGGAGTCCCCATAACAAGGATTCTAGTATTTTGGGGTCTACGTTGGGGTCCCCTTCTTTCTGGAAACTACCATATGGGCGATTGTCAAAATTATGGTCCCTTTTTGGATCCCTATTATACTACGGCACCTAATATTTAGGGTACACAAAAAGGAACCATAATTTTGGAAACCACCCATACCATGCACTTTGTTTGCTTGAATGTGGCCTGGCTTCCACGGAGACCAGGACTGAGGATACAGAATTTAGATTATAGCTCATCGTTTAGGGTTTAGGGTTTAGGCTTTAGGGTTTAGGGGAGGCTGAAACCCGTCGCATTCCCAAGCGAATGCGAAGCAAGGATCCTACCCACAATGTCCTTGTAATCCCTAAATGCGCTGTAGGGCAAACTCCTTAACCGGGGTTATACAGGGGATTATATAGGGCACAACCATAGGGGATATTAAAGCGGATACTAGGAGTTTAGACTATAGCGCATATGTCCTTGGGGTCTCAAGGGTATCCCCTTTTTCAGAAACTCACTCGCAATGATGGGCGGAAAAGTCTCCAGAGCTGGGATCATTTTACGAAGCGCGAAGAAGCCGACAGTTTTTAGTTAATTTGGGTTAACTTAATGTAGAAGCATGAACACTTTTTGTATTCTTCTCTATAACGCTTGTGTAACTACAGTATGTCCCAAACCCTATTCTAGTTATTCAAGCCCCTATGGTATTTGGTTTTCCTTCGCGTCTGCCATCCGTCCTTCTGAAGCAGATCGGATTTCTGGCCGCCTTCCAAACCTCCAAAATCCAAGAACCAGACCCCTAGATGATGTGGGGGATGACGGTTTAGGGTCTAGGGTTTAGGGATGATACATAGGGCATACCCCTAAACTCTAGACCCTAAACCCTTGCCATGGGTTTTATAGGGGTTCTACTGGCCGGATCCTCCAGGGGCCCGGGTTTCCATTTAAAGTTTCCTGGAATGTCACACAGCTCAGCAGGTTTGCCGCTTCATGCAGTGGCTTAGAAAGCTTATGTACCGCTATGATATAACCTTATATATCCTTGTATAGGTATATCCTTTCTATCCCGTAATAGTCCTGTATGACCCTATATATCCTTAAACCCGAAGTATATCTTCCCAATGAAGGGGTACTGGTCTCACTGGAGGCGATGGGAAGACGAGTCGTTTGGCTTGCTGATGCCACTTGCCAGTCCAAAGCTAGGTAGGCGAAGCCTCTTCAGCACCGTTATACGCAGCACTAGTGCTTCTGTAACCCTAACCATCAGCCCCTTCAGCGGTTCATCCCTAGGAAGTCTTGCTCCAAAAAGGATTGTGGGAACTACGGCGCACCACCCTCCAAGCCCTGTCTGCCAGTGCTGCCAATTGGTTTAAGGTTTAGGGTGTCACAAGCCCCCTAGCCTTGTGACGAAGATTCTGTTGGCGGCCGCCGCCGGTGCTAAGTAAGTAATGCTGCCCGTTCTACAGCTGTCCTACAGCCACTCCCACATGTATCTCAAACAGTTTTGCCCCACATGTTACACCAAAGCTTTGCCGCACATGCGGCACACCTCCGCAAGCGGTAGTGGCACTGCCGTGCCCAAAAACTTCCTTTCCTCGAAGAGCTTCTCAGGATGGGGCTTTTCCAGGCCTCCCAAAAAATCTCGATCGTATTTTGAGGAGCCCACAACAAGCCTCACATTTTTGAGAAGCCAGGTGATTTTTAACATGCTGACGGCTTCAGGAGCAATTCCAGGGTTTAGGGTTCAGAGTTTCCTGAATAGAGTTGATCCTCTGATGATGCCTCGAGAGGCGCCCTGCTCAGCGTGGGCGACACTGGGAATCTATCTTAGTAGCAGGGCCTGACCTGCTTGAACCTTCAAACCGTAGAGGCTGAACAAACAGCCGTAAATCTGAAACACAAAACCCTAAATCCCTGAACCCAAAACCTTCAGGAACGATTCCTGGAGTGTGAGACACACTTGGAAACTTCTGGACATCCAGGCGCAAGCTTTCGGCACGCAACTGAGGGAGTGTAGGGCTCTACAAATATCTGGGGATTCTGCAGGAGACGCCAGTGGTCCCTCCTAGAGATTGCTAGGGATAAGTACTAAACCCTAAACCTTAAGTACAAGGTTGGGAATACACCCAGTATATAGGCTAAGATAAGCAAATTTGCAGGCTGCACTGCTGGCGACATTTTTGTGCCCGTAGAAGTTCATTGGGTGGTAGTGTTAATCTCTCTCGTGTTCCTAGCAGTTCAAGTAGAACCTTGTCTTGACTCATCACTTTGCCGTCCCAAGACCGTGGTCACTGCGTGAAAATCTGAGAGAACCCTTGCCGTCTTTGCTCTCAAGAACCTTGCTTGTGCTTCAAGGGAGTGGGGGATGGATCCCTATAACCCTATAATCCTAAACCCTAAACCCTATATCTCCTCCCCACTCCCCCAGAAGCACCAGTCAGGAACCCGCAGAGTAGTGATTGACACAGGGCCTTCAACATAAGATATGAAGACCTCTTCCCGAGAAGGCTTGTTCCTAGCTTCTTCTAGGGTTTAGGGTTTAGGGTTTACCAAACCTGAACTTGACGCTCAGACCTCAAGCCCAGAAACCTGAGCCCTCAACCCTAACCCCTGACCCGAAAGCCTGACCCATGCCGAACGTCAATTGAAAGAATACCTCAAGCAGGCGCTCATGGATTCTCCGGTGAAATGGACGCCGGAGGAGTTGCATGTGGTTGTCAAAGAAGTGTTCAGGGTTTAGGGACACATGCGAGTTTCTGAAAGCTGCCCCTTTAGATCCCGGGTTTAGGGTAACTTTAGTATCCTTGATGGGGACCCCCCCCAAGATTCCTTCATTATCCCTGCACGTCGTGAGAGTTTTTGTAGGGAGTTCCGTCTTGTTACCTTCTTGGTTTGATTTGAGACAACTGCCTATGCATCCCCATCTACATGGAGGACCAGATTCTAGTCTCTTCTGACCACAGTGGAAGCAAAAAGCGATGAACAGCAGTGTCATGTCGATGGAAATGAGCAACAACAAAGCGATCCACTGGTACTGTTCCCTAAATCCTAAACCCTAAACAGTCGTTGGAAATGAGCGCTCGCACAAGGGAGTGCGGACCTGACAGACCGAACCCTAAGCCCTTAGATAATCTAAGCTCCTGAAAGGGGGTTGTATACGGTTTAGGGTTTAGGGTCTAAACTGCGCACTGAGCTCTTACTAAACCCACAACCCGTTTTCTGAACTGTGAAGAGGCATTCCAAGGCCGGCACTTCTAACCAAACCCTTTTTGAAATGGCACCCAAAACCCCAAACCCAAAACCCTAAACCGTTCAGGGCTTAGAGCACATGAGCTTGAATATGGTGGCGCTTTCAAGGCTAGGGTAGCTGCTTGCTGCTCCCTCTAGCCCTACATTTCCAGAGGATAGGGTTTTCCTTGACTAATTTTGGAAGGGGTGCCGCCCTTCACCCAACTGAACTCTGAAGGACTATCCCTGTCAGCGCCAGAGATTGGGAAATGCCTGCGGTTACTGAACGTAAATGCTCGATTGCTGTTCAAAAGAGCCGCTGTGGCAAGGGATACCTTATCTGGGTTGCTGTTCAGCAACTTAATCTAAGCTACCATAATATGGGTGTATAGAAGCAGAGAATATGGTTTCCCCAAGATTGTAGTTTAGTTTAAGTTACCCAAAGCCAGCCTATTTACACCCTGAACCTTGCAAAAGAACGGAGCTTATGGTACGGAGCTCAGGGTTTAGGATTTAGGGTTTAGGGTTTAGCAGTTAGATCGGGGAATATGAGGAGCAAAAGGTCAGCCGCATCTAAACCGCGGAACAGTTAGGAACCATGAATCGTATTGTTCTGGCTGCTCCATACAACTATGGGTTTCTCTACCGTGAACCCTTAATGGCTCAAGCTGCTACAGTATCATCACAGCCAGACCCTGAAGGGCATCGAACTCTCAGATTTTGGATCCCTTTGGGTTTCTGGGAAGTATCTCCACCCACGCGCCTCCAGTTTTTCCTATGTGAGCTGTACTTCTTAGAATGGGACTTCGGTGTGCTTCTTTTTGACATGTTTTCCTGAGATTGCAAGAATGATGACAGTACCAAGTGCAAGGCTCTCGTGACACAGCCGCCGCGTTTGTAAGGGCATGCAGTCTTTGCATGGTCCTTGTCGGAGATATACTGACCATAGAATCCCAATATACAATATTCCCTCATTCCCCACCCGAAGCCCTGAATCCCAGGTTATCCCTAACCCCTGAGCCCTTTTGAAGTTCAACTGGAGCTGCTGTTTGCGGCTCGGAGGGCAACCAAATATGACACCAGACTGTAGAGTTCCCCCAAAAAATGATCCAGGGTTTAGGGTTTAGGGGTTTGGGGTTTAGGGTTTAGGGTTTAAGGGGCCAAGACAAAATTGGGTTCCATTGAGCCCTAGACCCTAAACTATACAGTACCCTCGTTTGAGAGACCGCGAGGTTCTGTCTTTAGCATCGGAGGGTTTAGGGTTTAGGGTTTAGGGTTTAGGGTGAGGCTACAGATCAGGATTCCTTCTAACGACACATGAACTGCAAATTTCTATCCGAAACCTGATGATGCCAAGCAGGATCGTACTTTCATAGAAAGTCGCGGCAAACGAATCGCCAGCACACCAGGTTGTAGCTACAACCCTAAACCCTAAAACCTAAACCCTGAACCCTAAATTCTAAACCCAGAACCTCAGCTCGGCAATCAATCAGATTTGCTCACATGGCTTCCCGCCACCTGGCAGCTGTACTCCGGCATGGTGTTCGCGGCTTTTCGACAAGGTGGAGGGGAGTTTCTGAAAGTAGTTCGTGATTTAGGTGCCTAAGTAACTAGAATTGAGAATAGTGTTCTTGGTATAGTATACAACAGTTATACACGGAAAGCATAGTTTTTCCGCCCTTAAAGTTCCTGTCTGGGGAGCCAGCTTAGATTGGGCACGCTGTTGGGGCACCTGACTCTTGATAACTGCCATGAAGGGTCTTAGACATCACGCTACACCTGCTTACGGCACATAGCAGGGTCCGATTCTTCCGACCTTTGAAGCAAGTGTGCGAACACTGGGCTATGCTGCTAAGGAAATTAGAATTTAGTTCGTAGTATAGTAATGTATATAGGAAATAGTAGGGTTTCCTTGGTTAGAGTAACTTATTTCTAGGAAATAGTAGGGTTTCCTTGGTTAGAGTAACTTATTTCTAGGAAATGTTAGGGTTTCCTTGGTTATAGTAACTTATTTCAAGTTCCTGAACAGCAACCCAGTTTTGGCTGATCCAGCCCAAGTTCTGACGTGAAAGCCGCGTGCTTGAACCCTCCTCTCCTCGCCTTTTTTCTAGCCTGTTTAGGGTTCAGGGTTTAGGGTTTAGGGTTTAGGGTTCTGGGTTTTAGGTCTTTGGAATATTTAGTATTGGCCGTGGGGATATATGACTTTCTCGGGGTAAATCTCAGATTATCGTATACTCCTTATTTCAACGGCTATTCCTAGAACGATTCCGCAAGATTATGCCTTCGCCGTCTTGTTGTTTTTGCAACCAGCAGGAATATTTTCTAAATCTTTGTAATAAGTTCTGAACCCTAAACCCTAAGCCCCCTAAATTCTGCCTCTTACCTTCTAAGCCGATCTCGTCTCCCAGAAACTTCTTCCAGAACATCAACGAGCAGCACCTTGCAAAGGACGCAAAATGCAGATGTTGTGTTCCAGAAGAGATTAGGGTTTAGGGTTTAGGGTTCAACCTGTAGCTGCTTAAGAGAGTGTAAGGGAGTGAAACCCTACAATAGATTTAGGGTTTGGGGTTTAGGGTTTAGGGTCTGCAGGGGAATGTGTACCATGAGATGAGACTGGTGTCAGTCTCTCCCAGCACCAAGCAAAACGTCAGTCCCAAACGCTTCAGCCCTAGACCATAAACCCTGCAAAATCCCATTGTAGCAGTTTCCATTTTCTTTTCCATTATCCCTATATAGCCCCACTATATACTCCATAATCCCTATATAATCCCTATAGTACTAAACCGTACGCGCTACACCGAACCCCGAGAGTTCAAAATCCCAAATGTGTCACAATGAGCCGTTCTAATCCTCAAGGAAACCCTAAACCCTAGACTCCGCCCTGAACCCTAAACCCCTATGGTTTTGAGTAGACTCCAGCCTATACGCTAAAGTCTAAACCCTGGGCTGCAATGCCAGGGTCTTGAGTCTGCAGGAGCTCGCTGACATTGGCCGCTGTGGCCGGGAGGGCTCGGAGGCCCTGGACAGTACCCTTTTCGATCCCAAGGCCAGGCGGTGAAGAAGCAGAACAATCGGGTTTAGTAGGTCAAACTTGAAAATAACACACTCGTTCTGAACTCTCGTTAATTTCAACAAGCCATTTGTTGTAGTGAGGAACAAGTCTAGGATTTGGAGTGTAGGGTGGGGTTAGGGGGTTAGGGTTTTGGCCAGTCAAGGGCGGTAAAAGGAGCACCGGCAGCAAGACTGAACGCGACAATTGTGCAGATCATAGCCTCCACAAGAATCAGGGGACTCAAGGTCATCATAAACGTGTGTAGACATTGAGCCAGTCTGTACTGCCATCGCTGGGTCCATACTCATAGGAGCTACGCTTATGACCTCGGGCTACGATGAGCGGACCATGCTGTAAACTGGTGATTTGTACTTCATGTGTGTAGTCAGGCTTCAGAGTGCAGAAACAAGTTCTGTGGAAAATCTTGACGTGTCAATGCTACTCGCGTTACCTCAGCACAAGTTTTGTACTGGTTGCAGCACCGGCAGAATTTAAGAACCAGCTATGTGCCCGCGCAGTTCGGCTTGTGTTTTTCTTGGCAGCACGGCTCATGCTACAGCATGGTGTTCTGAAACCATGCAAAAGATGCCTTGACCTGGCCTGTACAAGCCATACACACAGCTTCAACAGATGGATTCGATTGCTACACCATCACTTGTAGGAAGAGCCCTAACCCTAAGCTCCGAGCCCTAATGCAGGAGCCTGAATACATACTACTATCGTGGTTCCAGATCCCATGTATAAGCAGGTTATGGGGTGCTTCAAATAGACCTCAAAATCATACTGGTGGTTTTGAAGGCGCCCGCATTTTATAACCCTTATAAACCCCCCATATAAAGCCAGTTTACATGTCATGCTTCATTTGATTCTCCATCGTTCCTGTATGTGTAACGTTGCACACTTTTGCTGCAGGTACGCTTGCGGCCCAATCGGCGCCCCTCCCTAGCGCCTCAGATTTCATGGTGTCTCATTGCTGCGACCTGTAAGCCCAGTTACCTACCGTCTTATGGGTTATACCTACTAAACAAGGGGTAATTACTAGTAGGCTGTAGGCAAGTAGGGTGACAGGAACATAATGGCTCTTTTTGGGAAAGCCTTCCATCAGTTGGTCCCACATCAGTCCGGGCAATAATTCTTTCAGGCATGGTTCCGTATGGTACACCCGAAAGGCTTCTGCTCTTTACCCCAAATCCCGTATGTTGAAAAAGCAACCCTGAACTCAAAACCCCAAAATGTGTTGCTGTTAAGGAACTTAAGTTAAGTTACCATACTGAGTATACATATAGTAATTACTAGGGCTTCCCCAAGATAGTAAACTTAAATTCAGTTCCTTAACCGCAACCCAGCAAATCCAAAGCCTTAGACAAAACCATGTGATGTAGTCTCAACCTCTCAGAGGGGTTTGTAGAGGGGAGTATTCTAGGGGTTATTAAGGGGGTGACTAGGAGTTTAGATTATAATCCCCTATAATCCCACACTATAATCTCAGTTTTCCTTTCATGTTCCATTTTCTTTTCGATTTGATTCTCATTATTAAGGGGGATACTAGGAGTTTAGACGATAAACCCTATAGTACCCTACATATCCCTATATATAGCAGTTTCCATTTTCTTCTCCATTTGATTCTCCATTATTAAGCTCAAGAAGCCCTAAACCCTAAACCCTAAACCCTAAACTCCGAGGCCGCAGCGGAAGTCGCCGCTCGCAGCATAGGTGCCGAGAGGGATGAGGCAGCAAAGACTGTTCATGTGGGGAGGGGGTTCGACTTTCGGGTTTTTGTTCGGAGTTTAAGATTTAGTGTTGTTGTTTAGGGTTAAGGGTGTAGGTTGTAAGGTTTATTGGTTCAGGGGGTTTCGGTGTTGAGGGGTTAGGAGCTTGAAGGCTTAGCGTTTGAGGGTATGAGAGATTGCGCTTTCAAGGTGTATCCGAGCCCTAGAAACCCAACCTAAGCTCCAAAACCCTAAGCTCTGAACCCTAAACCCTGTACTATAGGGGCCTGGAACATTGTTGATCTTATGGTTCCAGATTCCTTCTGTCATCATGAGAATAGTAGTGTTGCGTACCTAGATAGACTTTAAACTGATATTGGTGTTTTGTAGGCCTCTAAACCTTAAACCCTAAACTCTAAACCCTAAACTCTAAACCCTAAACCCTAGACCCTAATCCCTAATCCCTCAAGCCGAAACCCTAGCACTTTCTGCTCTTTCAGGCAGATTTCGAACGAAGCTCCCGAA